TTATGACTGTGAGTCATACTTGGTATTTAAAGCCATTGTAGGCCACATAGGGCAGCACAGTGGTCGACTGGTTAGTGCGTCTGCCTCACAGTGCTCAGCTGCAGCGTTCGATTACGGCTTCAGCCTTCCTGTGTGGAGTTTGCATGTACTCCCGGTGCCTGTGTGGTAATCCGGTTTCCTCCCACATTTCCAAAACATGCATTGCAGGGTTACTGAGCTCTCTAAATGGTCCCTAGGTATGATTTTGAGTGCGAATGGTTGCGTGTCTATGTGTGTCCTGCGATTGGCTGGCAACCAGTTCAGGGGGCTGTCCCCCCCATCTACTGCCCGAAGACAGCTGGGATAGGCTACAGCATGCCCACGACCCTTGTGAGGATAAGCGGATTCGAAAATAGGTGGAATGGATGGATGTAGGTCTCATCTAGTTTTGTTTACTGACCAACACAATAGCAGATGCACGTCTAAATCTGTGGACGCTTAATTGATGTGTTATCCTTCAACCAACAAGACTACATTGCTGTGTATTTCACCCCTTGGAGGCAAACTGTGAAGTACACAATTATAGTTTGGGCCTTAATAGGATTATAACAGTTCCCTGTGGTGACAGGCTGCACATAAACGCTGTTGTAATGCTCTGTATTCCCATTTCTACATCATGACATCAAAGACATGACCCACGGGTTTTGCCACCGTTTTTATTCTTTTCCCTAATGTTACCTTGACTGCCACATTACTTGTCTATACCATTTTAATCTTCTTTCATGCCACTGTGAACTCCTGAGGAGATCGTATTATATATTATCTATTTAACTGTATAATGAGCTGGTGCATTTCCAAAAAAATAATCCCAGTAATAATGTCAATAGACTGCTGGTACTAGAACCAATATACAATGCAGACAGAGATGTAATTGATTCCAACAGTGCTGTGTATCATAAAAACTAACAAAGCTTTACAATTGGTGTATGAATGAGGGCAGCTAGCTGCATCCTTCAAAACAGGGGGCCCAGGTTGGAAAGTAAATAATTTCACATCAGCCTTGAAAATCAAAACTGATTTTCCTCTAAAATAGTAGATCAAGGAATCAGATCAATATTTGGAACGCTGCCCCCTGTTTTATGGATATGAGCCATCAGCATTCAAGGAATCAGTTGGGTCATTAAGATGGGGGTGATTAAACGGAGCGGGGCCATTACGTTTTCTGTTCACTGTCTTATCAATATCTTGTTGTACGAAGTACAAAAAAACATCACCGAATGTTATAAATTCAGTGAATTTTAAACTGCTTGTCAGATAAGCATGACAGGAAAAACAATTCTAAAAATAATGTCCATTAGGCATATGATCACAAGATGTGTGTACATCATAAGGTATTGGTAAAGGATAAGTGGTTCATATCATGAATGGGTGAATGCTTTGTATGTTGAATACTTGTAATGTGTCTAATGTGATTTAGTTTCACAATACAGTCCTGACTTTTGATTTTTACTTTTGAGTTCTGTACAATAAATGTTCTCAAAATTACAGTACAGCTAATCTGTTTTTTTAATCAGTTTCTGTCAGACTAAAAAATTATTCTGCTTCTTATATAGATTGATATCTATATTTGTGCAAAAATGTATAAGCTAGTGTGCTCCCGTTTACATTTCAAAATTTTATCTAGCAGCACTGCTCATTGGATACAGGTCTGTTTAATGTCACTTCAAAATAAAGTGGAAAAAAAGGTGAGCAGTCAAAGTGTGTTGTAATTTTTTTTTTTATAGAATAACTGAAAATATATTGTGGTATATTGTTATTGGCCTATATCAAAGATTTTTTTCCATATGCCCCAGCCCTACCGCATGGGTGCTGATTGGATCTGGAGGACATTTGAGATTTAAATACAGTACAACCTTCGACTTTTCACGGCAGATTGTTGCTTTTTGTAGCTGTGTTAAGTACCAAAGAATTTCGACTTAAAAACCAATTTGTCACGTTTTACCTCTTTACCAACACTCCGCATCTGGTGTCAAATGAATCATTATTTTTGAATCCTTCTTAAAATTCATTCTGATCAATTTGTCTTAGCACCAGTCATTTTGGCTTCTTTATATGATCACTGTAGCTGGGGATTGCGGTTAATTGACTTGATTAGATGCCTGTTCGAACACAAAGGTATTGGTAAACATTGTGTCCTTATTGAGCAGCTAAAGAGAGTCATATTTCTCTGAGGAGATCAATAAGGAGCTCTCTATTGAGTGGATATTGACCTCACATTCATCAAGGGGGAAGAAACATGGTCTCAAAGGCATAGGCCACATATTTTCTGTGTCACCTCCTCCACAAGGTCATTTATGTCATATTTTAAACCTCCATTTGTCTGTAAGTGCCCAAAACTGTGAATACTGTAAATATAAAATAGTTGTGATAGTTCACATTTATTGCAAAATACCAACACTAAATTTTGTAAGATTAACATTTGACATATTGTATGCAGGCATATTGTATGCAGTGGAGCGCTGTGGTTCACATCACTGCCTTTCATGCAACTGACCTGCGCTCCATTCCTGGTCAATGGCCCATTCACGATCAGCATGTGATTGACTGGTAATTAGTTCAGGGTGCACCCTGCCTCTCAGGTGATCCTGAACAGGACAAAAAAAAAAGAAAAGAAACTGGATGAACAGATGGCAATGTAATCATCCTTTCTCTTCACTCTCAACCTATGATTTGAATTCCTTGCAAGACTAACTGCAAACAACCTGTTCTCTGTCTTTTGTCTCAAGGTCCAATTAATGACCTTTCTTCATAAGGTGCTCCTTCCATTTGTAATTTCATTTAAAGTGTTGTACTTGTACAGTACAGACCTACTCTATGGTATGGTCCTCATCTTAGAATAAAACCGCATATATATTTGGGCTGTCAAATATAGCAAGTGTCAAAATGGCCACGCCTTGAGATGGATAAAAACAAGTGGATTTTGCTGATTAATTCACATCCCACGAACGAAACATTAATCGGAATACCATGTTAAGACTCTCTCTCTCTCTCTCTCTCTCTCTCTCTCTCTCTCTCTCTCTCTCTCTCTCTCTCTCTCTGTGTGTGTAGGACGGTGTGTGAAGACCTCTATAAATGAACAAAAAAGAATATGAAAGTTGTGACAAATCGCCCTGAAAAATACGTTTTTAATACTAAAGACCTTGAGCTCCTGCCATGGGCGTCTTTAGGCCTATTTTAGGGAGGCTTCAGCCTCCCTAAAAATGTCTTTAGCCCCCCTAAATAATTTCATTGCATTATTTAAAAAAAGTATTATTTATTTTTCCTGTACTTTTGCTAATATATTGCATCAAATTCAATGTAATGTGGCCATTTTAAATTATATTTCGATAACCTGCCATTATTGTAATGTTAAATCTCCCAGGTTTGCGTTAGTATTTGACGTGTCTGTCACCATCGCCGCATCAAATGCTAACGCAACAACTGACAGTTCATTGCCGAAAGTCAGGTTGAGTCGACAGCATGGATATTCGACAGTTTTTTAGAAAGGTAAATTAAGTATTCAATGCATCCATGCTGGTAAAACTAGTGACTATAGTCCGCTAAAATATCTCCAGTAACAGCAGAAACTGCACTGTAACAAGTGTTCACTTTTGGATAAATTAAGGTGGTGCTTAATAAAAATTAAGCAACATT